ATTGCTGATCTTCACAACATTTGTGTGTGTTTGTTTTGTTTTATGAGACCAGGGTCTCACTATGTAACCCAGGCTGGCCTCAAACTCAAGATCCTCTCCTGCCTCTGCCTCCCAAGTTCTGGGATTATAGATGCAAGTCACTATGAGCCTAGCTCCATAAACATTTTTTAAAAATTAAAGACATAAATAAATAATTAGAAGCTATTCTTATTATACTTTTCAATTGAAATAGGTGGGAAGGTTAGCCAATACATTAAAGGGCAGAAAAAAAAAGATTAAAAAGTCCCAGAAAATCAGACATTTCAGGCTGATATGAAGAACTAGAAATTAAATCCTTGCACACAGGTTCTGAAAAGTTACCTGGAGAAAAGGTGATTTTAATTCAGCGATTTATTTTTGTTCGCTGTTTAGCATTAGATTAGTCCACATCACAGTAAGCATGGGCTGTGCATGGGGCAGACGGTGGCACTGGATGTCCTGCCCAGGAAGGGGCTGGTATTACAATTCTGCTGCAGAGGGACCAAGCTCTGTGACTACTGCTTCCTTGTTCTCTGGATTGTGAGATACAGGCTGCTGTGTGATGTGATGCCACCAACAAATGACTTCCTTTGCTACCAGACAATGTTAAGTGAGGCAGATTTCCCTCTGACAGCTCCTCTGTGTGTGTGTGTGCATTTGAAGCACTGTGTCATTCCTGAAGAATCTGAGGCATGAAGACAAGAGGTGGAAAGTCAGAGAAGGGAAGACAGTACTGGATTATGGCCGGCAGCTGCTGTCTCTTTCATGCTAAAGTCAATCATCCAAAAGGAACAAAAACAAACAAAAGAACCCTCCAATCTCTCAATCAGATTCCTGGATCTCACATCTAGAGTAGGAAAGAATGCCAAAAGATGTCATTTCTGTATTTGAGAAAGCTCACTGTCTTAGTATGAATTTTGCTTGACAATTATTTAAACTTCCACCATGTGAAATGCAGTAGCTTTATATCAATTTAACATTGTGGTTCACACAAATTATTGTTTATCAACAAATTGGTTTTAAATAAGCCACCTGACACTGCTTAAACATAATGGAGAAAAAAGTATATATGTTGTCCTTTTAAGCTTCCACCTGAAAACTATCTTTGATTTTCATTATTAAAAAAAAAATCCACCTGCTATAAAATTTGTTAATAAGAAGAAGGAATGCAAAGATCCCAAAGGATGGACTGAAGTAAATTTCAAGATCACTAAACATCTGGATAATTTTTAAAGTAATAACTGTTCATGAACTTAGAATTCATTGATTCAGAAGAGGAAGACAACTGGCCAGGTATGATGGTACATTCCTATAATCCCTGTACTTGGAGGGTCAGGCAGGAGAAATAGGCAGGAGAAATGGGAGTTCAAGGCCAGCCTGATGTGCATAGTGAGACCTGGTCTCCAAAAACAAAAAAACAAATTACAAAACAGCAAAAAGGAATACAACTGAAACTTTGGGACATTCACTAAGGCAAACTATTTTTCGTAATATCAACATATTAATTCTTTGTGTACAAACAACAGTACTTATTACAGTGGAGCCTTAAGTTACTCATTAAAATATTCATTAGCACTTAGTTGATGTTCAAGAAGACAGCTCATGCTATTTTTAAATGTTAGGGCCATTAAATACATGAAGTCAATTCAGAATATTTATCAATTTTCAGCCACGTGCCAGAAGCTCACATTTGTCATCCCAGATACTTGTGAGATGGAGATAGGGAGAATCATGGTTTGAGGCCACCCTAAGCAAAAAGTTAAGTGAGATCCCATCTAAATAAACAGAGCAAGTATGATTCCCTATAATCCCAGCTACAGGGGAGCCATAGGTAGGAGAACTGAGGGCTAAGGCTCCTGAGGCACAAATGTGATACCCTATCTGAAAAATAACCTAAGAGCAAAAAGAACTGGGGGTATGGCTCAGTTGTAGAGTGCTTGCCTACCAAGCATAAGGCTCTGAGTTCAAACCCCAGTGTAACAAAAAAAAATAGAATATTTGTCAATTTTCAGATTTGAAAACTGAGGCCAGAGAGGTGATGGATGCCTTGCCTGAGCCTAAGCTGTTGGTTACTATGAAGTGAGATCTAGAAGTTCAATGTCCAGTGCTATCAATTTCTTGACATTAAGTGAAGAGACACTGTGTGAGTGTCTGAGCACACAGTGACAGGTGTTACACATCAGACACAGAGGCCTGTGAAGAAGATCCTGGTTTCCTTAAAGGAACTTGTAGTCACAGTGGGAGACTGACCTGAAATGCTAAAATTCAACACAAGGTTTCGATTTTAAGGCAAAGTATTCATTCAAGAAACAAGATGATGTGATTAGCTTGTATTTTGATGTGGGCACATATAAACAGCGCTCTTTGCTCACCATGAAGTGGGCAGGGAGAAGAAAGGTTGCGGAAAGAAAAAGTTGAATTCTTTCTGAAGCAGGGGAGGATTTAGAAGGAGAGGAGAGGTGTGCTGCCGAAAGATGGAAGTGCCTGAAAAGATGCCAACTACATTTCCATCTGTAAAGAGCTCTCCCCAAATTTGCTGATTTGTCACTGGTATCTGTAAAAATGACAGCACAGCAGTTTTCCTAAGGAGAGCAGGTGAGTGTTTTCTGCCTGTCCCAGTGAACAGGAAAGAAGACCTGAACTGGGGACTGTTCATGCAACGCCTTCTTACTCACTTGCACCTCGTTATTTCATGAATAAACTGAGGCAGCTTTCAAAAATATAGAACATAAGCTGAATGAAATGAATCACTGAAAAAAAAGACCAACCCAGGAGGGAAGCAGCACAGAGAAGAGCAGGCGACACAGGCCAGATGGGTGTTGACTGGCGGTAAGTAGAAGCGAGATGGGGATGGAAACCTTTCTAGCAATTACAAGATTCTCATGCACTAGGTTAAAAATAAAACAATGTTGTAATTGAAGGGAGCCTGGCCTCTCCTAACATGAAATAAGAGAGAATTTCTCCCTCACCCCATAAAGAAGTCACTGAATGATGTCACAGGCGGTGGCCTCCACCCCCTGGTTGGTGGTCAGGCTATATGAGTAAGTTCCCATGACTGGCCTGTGTGCTGGTCCTTGGGGTCGGACCAGATCATCGTGTGGGGCACAAATCAGCGTCTCACATGCCCACTTGTACCACAAGAGTAAAATTCAGAATGTGAACCAGACTGGGGAACCACATGTTCTTCAATTCATATTGATTCATTTATTCATTCAACAAAAATCTATTGATCACATGCAATGTGACAGGCATGGGAATACTGCCAGGAGTAAAACACAGCCATTCCCATGGAGCTAAAGATCATAAATGAGAAAGTGAATGTTAGATGTGATAAATACTATGGGAAATACATAACCCAGGACAAGGTGAGAAGGGATGTGGTGGGATGTGGAAGGGCGCTATTATTTACAGAAGGTCATCAAAGAAGATCTTGCGATATGGTACCATGTGGGCAGAAAGTGGCCCCACATGAGGAAGGAGACTATGTGCTATCTGAGAGAGAAGTATGGTAGGCAGCGGGTATGGAGGTCCTTAGTGTACTTGGTTCACCTGAGTAATGTCAATAGAACCAGCCAGGCAGAGAAGGGTGCAGGGCTCCAGGAAATGAAGAAGCCAGGGTAAGGTGAGAAAAGGGATGCTGATGGACGGGGTGAAGTTTTCTTCAAAAATCCCTCCTGCGACTGCTTTCACACAAGCCAAAGGCAGCTGAGGACCTCCAACAAACACCAGGCAATGGGACCAAGGTCATCTTGGCTTATACACTGTTCTAAGACATGCAGGGTAATCATCCACCACAGACAGGCCCAGCTATGCTGCATGGAGGACACAGGTGGGCCTGCACCTGTGGGTTTCCACCTGTAGATTCAGTCAATTGCAGGACAAAAATATTTAGAAAAAATGGCATCAGTGCTGAATTGTTTTGTCTTTATTCCCGACACAATACCGTGTAACAGCTATTTGCAAAGCATTTACATTGCATTAGCTATTGTAAGTAACTGGTCTGTGCACAGGTTTTATGCCAATCCTACTCCATTTTAAACTGAGTCTTGAGTATCTACAGATTTTGGGATCCGAGGCAGGTTCTGGCAGCTTTCCTCTGCAGACACTGAGTCACTGAGTGACAACTGAGTTAAGGTAAGAAAACTAGGTTTATAATTTCTGTCATTTAAATATTCATAGAATGTCCTAATTTTGCTACCTGTTGGAACTTTGAAAAATTTTGGAATGCAAATTGTCCCTTCAGAAGCTGACTGACAGTGTGAAATCTTCCTCGAATCTAGGCTGAGAGCATGCTGTAAGCATCTTGCACATACGTGCAGTTTGATTTTAAAGACAATCTGGTGGTTGTGTGATACAGAATCTACTGTGCATCTAGGGCACTTACATGTGTCAACAAGACTATGTTACCAACTTAAAAAGGTAACCTGTATCTACTTCCCCATCCCAAGGGCACATATCCAAGACACTGAAAATTGGTATCGAATCATTCAAACAAATGAAAAGGAGGAAGGGATCAAAACACACCTCTGCCTGGTGCCGTGAGAAATGCTCTCTCAGGAGCCCATCCTACCAGCCTGTTATTTTCTCATAGGTATCAAGACGAAGGATCTATGAGGTTGTCAGTAATTGGTTCCATATCAAGTTCACAGACCTTGGTCTATCAGCAATTCCCCAGAAAAACATGACAAGTAAATGGCAACAGAAACAGCAGAGATCCTGTATTCTTGACAGACCTTGTTCTCAGGCGACAGAGAATCTATCAGTGGCCCATAGCACACCCTCTTTGTCCAAGGGCCACCTACACTTCACAGACAATAGAGAAAATGAGGTTTCAGACATGTGACAAGGAGAAAACCCACATGGAGATTAGGTGCTCAATATGAGCTTATCAATCATTAGTGCAAAAATCTGTGTGACATCATTTATATAATCATCTGTAACATTTAAAAAAATACTGTGTGAAATGACATGGACTCAATTACCTGTTCAGCTAGTAAGGAAGCTAAGCTTGAATATGCATCTGCAAACTCTGGGCCATATTTAATGGAGTCCTTCAGTAGGGTGATGGCTTCTTCTTTTTTCTCCTGGGACCTGTAAATAATAATGAGGGAAAAGAACATTTTTCATGAACACTTTGTTTAAATCCTATGACTAGACTTTAAAATCTCATCTCTTTCAGCAAAAATTTAGCCAATGCATTCTGGATTTTATTGCACATGAATTAAACTAGGGGCTGATAGTGTGTTCTGGTCTCTGACTTCTCACTGAGAAGAGATATGAAGATGGAGGTGCTTCTGCTGATTATTCACTGGTTTTTATACCTTCATTTTCCTGCTATACAATTCTTGAGAGTTTACAAGTTTGTAAACAAGAAATGCTGGCCCTCAAAGAAGCAATTTGGGGGGCATTAACTGGGTGGCGTGGGCCAGTCTACACTGACATGGAAGCTAATTTTAGTCCATGTCGAGTGTACCACACAGGCCAAGTTCTGAATGATGGCTGAGTCACTGACCCAAGATAAGCCAGGCCAAGTTGTCATATTAATCTTTGCTTAGGTGAGAAAAATTTCAGACACAATTTATGAAATTAGAAAATGCTGTGACCACTAGCTGGCAAAGAAAAATGAGCTCTTTTCTCCTCACATTTTTATTGAAAGCTGGGCTGGTTTTGCCTTTTGTTTTTTGGTCTTCTCCCAGTGTTTGTACTTCAGCTTAAGGAGGAGTTGGGGCCTGAAAGTTTGTAGTTAATATTTCTTGGGCAAAAGTTCCCTTTCCTGATAGAACTATGGAGGGACATTGTTCATTATCCTGATTTCAATACCTTTGAAGCTGAAAATGTTCTCTTGGCAGTGGTAATTTTGCTACTAATACAATTCCATAAGTACTGATCTCTTGTTAAGTACTAGACATTATCAGTAGCAAAAAAAAAAAGTAGAATGAATAGAAGCCCTTGAACTATAGAGAGCACATGGTCCAATGGTCTCCATCTTTACCAGTTACCAATATAGAGCTGTGTACCATATGTTCTTATAAATTTTCACATAACATTTTTAATTCTCACAACAACTCCATGGGGTAGGTGTTATTGTCCTAATAATATACTCATTTTTCTGATGAAAATATCCAGATTCAGAAAAGTCAAGTAATGCAGCTATGTTACACAATTAGTGTCCTGATTGTTCTTCCATTGAACTGCCACTGCTATTTTAACTATCTGGAAGCCTATTCCACAGAGCATGCCGCTCTCAGTGTGACTTGTGGACCAGTATCATCAACATCACCTGGAAACTTGCTATAAATGTAGAATCTTGGGCCCCAACCAGATCTACTGAGTCAGACCCTGCATTTCCAAAAGACTCCCAGGTAGTCTGCTTGTCAGAACTGCTCCATGACTTAATCAAAAGCAGATGAGAGCAGCCGGGCTACAATCCCTCTACAGGTCCAGGTGCAGGACCAGGTCTGCAGGATGAAGTTATGTAGAGGGAAAACTACCACTGATTCCACAGCTTGAATTCGTAAGTACCAGAAACAGCTTAGTCAATTTCATCTAGAAGGGAGTTTCCCAACACGGAGTTGGGTAGAAAAAAAGTCATGATTCCAACACAGACATTGGATTTGATTTAATTTGGTAAACATTTATCATTAGGAGGTGGCTGTCCACACTGTCTTCTCCTTATTGAGGTCTAGTTAACTCCTAATGGGCGCCTCTGAATGCACTGTCCTGTCTTTGAAAACAGGGTGTCTAACACCTGCGCCCTTAACTGTGTCCTCCTTGGGATGTGGCTTCAAAGTTGCATGGTTCTAATAAATTTACATTACAGCTTTCCTGTTGATTCATTCAGTCAATGAAATTTTTAAAAGTGCCTGTAAGACTTCATGGAAGCCCATTATCTTACAAACACTCGGGTTTCTACTCTAACATATCTTGAAGTAATTCCTCCACTGGTGTATGTTTTTAAATGAAAGTAAAGTTTTTAATCCTGATAATCTGACCATTGATTTTATGGTTAGCAGACAGAACTGTTCCTCTAACGATTTCATAAATCTTTACTAACATTAATTTAGAAATCCTTCTAGAGCCCAAAGGATGATACAGACTTAGGAAATTAAGGCTGAAAATTAAGTCCCACCAGACATTGTTTAGTTGGATATTATTCAAAATCAGCAGAGGGGAAAAACACAGCAATTTGATAAGAATGACTTAATGGTTTTCATTTGTTATGACTCACATCAGTTAGATTGGAAATTTAGACCTTTTGTGTATGAACTCCACAAGATTATCACTTAACAGTCTATGAATGTAAACTCTTGAGCCTGTCCTTTAATGTTCATGTGTCACAAGGGACAAGTGCCATCAAAGCTATTCAAAGGGATTCCTTGTGCAAAATGGCAACTCAAAAAATCCCTTGAGAGACTGACAGTCTTTAAGGAAAACATCTCATTATGTGATTGGCTTAGAATATGAGTTTATAAATTGCAAAGATTTGAGCAGAGAGGACATTCCCTGTTGGCCTAGAACTCTGGAATAATTCCGGTTCTGCATGGGAAACTGTGAGAATCACTAGGCACAAGAGGTCAGATTTTGGCAGATACTTTACAGTTCTTTTTTGTTGGTTTGTTTAGCTTCTCTCTCAGTACTGGTGATTGATGGTGATTGACCCTAGGGCACTGAGGATGCTAGGCAAGTGCTCTAGCACTGAGCTACATGCCCAGCCATACAATGCATTTCCAAGAAAGCCCAAACAATTGTTAAATAATTCTCTTGTTCTGAAAAGGAGAGGCATAAGAGAGAATGTTTCTTTTATAATCTCTCAGGCACTGCTTGATAGAAGTTTAAGGAATATGTATAATGTAAACACAATAATTCATGGTATCTAAGTAGAACCTTCCTTGGTTATATAGTAATATGATTTCCAAGTGAAAACTAAGCTTAATTTTAATTTGCACCTGATTTAGTAACACCCCCTTTCATATTCATGTTAGGGCACATGTTCCTCTGATAATTATCCCATGTTTAAATCGGGGGCAAGATTCATATAATTTTATTGGATTTCTAAAGTCCAGACGGTTTTGCTTGTTTACATCTGAGTTCACACTCTTAGTTCATACATCTTCTAATTCCTCTTTCTTTTCCTTTTATGACATAGAATTGAGAGATATTTTTGAAAGCACTGCTTTTAACATATTCCCTTACATAAAAATCTTAATTAATACTCAACTGCCTACAGATAGACTCAGTCTAAGACTATTTACACCGAGGGACCCATTATTCAGCCAGCCTGAGTGGCTATGGGCATCTATTCTGCAGAATCTAACAGATCACCTCCTCCACTGAGGTGATTCTCTACTGCACCTTAAAATCACCTGGGGTGCTGGAAAAGGCCTTTGTGTTCTGAGGTTGGATGTCTGAGTAGGAAGCTCTCTCCATGAATATAGCTGTCATTCAGATTTGAGAATTATGGATAAGTCCAACCTCCTTGATTACAGTAGTAGAAAGTGAGACTCAGAGAGACTCCATGTTTTGCCTTGGTCCTAAGAAAAAAGACTAGCCAAGGTCTTGGGCCTCACAGCCTGGCATTCTTATTTTGGCCCCTCACAGAGGCTCTTGCCCTCCTCCCCACTCAACTTCAGGCTCCCCGTGAAGCCTTCCCTGACTTGCTTAGCTCAGAGCACAATTCCCTGCCCATAGCTCCTAAATATGTAACACAACTGGAAAAAATGTTAATGTATATGCATGTATGTGTATGTGTATCTTCATATATATCCATACAGGTCAAGCATTCCTAAATCTGAACCTTAAAATGCTTCAAAATCTTAAATTTTCAAGCATTGCTCAAAAAGTTTTAGATTTTGGAACACTTTGAATTTGGGAATTCAAATAAATTTAAATTTAAAATGTATTATTTTCTTTATTTCTAGATCTTTGTAAATCTTAAATAAGTTTCCTTGTGTTGTAATAAAATTTGACAGAGGGGGACAACAGAATTACCAATTTTGCATCTGTTTCTACAGCTGTTTAAACCTTATGGAATGGACCATTTGGAAGGCTGCAGCTTCCCAAGCCTGACTAGGAATCACAAGCAGATCGTAAATTAGTGTCCATTTATTGAACACTCAGTAGCTATTGGGCCCAGTGAAGCAGCTTAACTGACCTTACCTCTACATGGTAGCTAAAAGCACAAACTCAAAAACCAGACTGGTTCTACCCTACTTCCACCACTTACTATTTCCTTCAGCAATAATCTGACCTTCCCATGTCAGCTATACGTCAGCTTATGGTAGATGTGATATATATATTTTGACTTTTGTTAATTCATTTGAAGTTTCTAAAATTGCACATAGATAACTACTCCTCTTCTTATTTTTTTTTAAATCCGGGAGAAAATGATGTTTTTGAAATTCTTTTATAAGTAATATACTTCCACATTTCAAACTATAGACAAGAAACTTTGATTAGACATCAGAGTAGTTTTTTTTCCTCTCTGTTACTACAACAGGGTTTTTTTTGGGGGGGGAATATTTTATTTACTGTGTAAATTAGGCCAAGCAACTGGAATAAAGAAAGCTATTTTCTGCAAAGGAAAGAGAACATGAATGATTTTGCTTGTTACATTTCTTTTTCCTGGTTAAAATTTTCTCCCCTATTTTATTGCTAGGGCTGTAGAAATTTTCACCTGAATTAAACTCTGTTTAAAAAATATTTTAGTCTATTTCACCAACAAATATTTACTTTCCACCTGGCTAAAAAGTTAAATTTATATCACCACTATTAATAATAAATCTGTGTGTCTGGTTTTATTCTCACTCAGACACTTTAAATATTTAGCTACTTCAATTTGATTTTTAATAACCATTTAAAAGTATTGCTTTTATCATAAAACTGATACATTGGTTGTGGAAATATGCTATGAGATGAGATGGTTATAGTTTACTATAACATCAGTAAAGCTGTGATTAAAAATTGGTAAGAAATACCTATGCTTGTTTCCTCAAGCAAATCAAAACACAATGATCTGGTGAGGCAAATTCTCAAAATCACAGGGGATGTAATCACTATTCCCAAGGTAGTGCCTTTTGGGTTCTGGTTGCATC